TGTTATAATACACAGGGCCCATGCACCACGCACAACACGCACGCATACACGCACACACACACTCACAATATACATTATATATAATTATAATATATTATAATATAGTATATATTTATATTATATATATAGTATATGTATGTATACTATGTATATTAATATATATATGTATATATATTATACTATTATATTATATAATATAAAAATTAGATATATATACTAATTAATATATATACCACCACACACACACACACACACACACACACACACACACACACACACACAACACACATTATATATATATATATATATAATATATATTATATATTATAATATTATATATATATACCACACACCTACACACACAATAATCACACCACATATATATATGCATGTGCGCACGTGCCATTTCTCAGTGGGTTTAATTAAGTAATTGCTTGTACAAGATGGGCTCTGAAGCACTATTATGTCATCAACTACCTGTCTCACGTTTTTACCCTTTTCCTAGACTTTCGATAATATTTTCTAGCATAAGATGTTTCTGTTAGGAATGTCAATTTAGTGATTTGTAAAATAGGTTTGTGATAAAAAACGTAACAGCTGAATAAAAAAGAAATACACTGAACGGGGCTATGGAGATGATTATGCATTGGTCGGGGCCACAGGATAGAAATAAGCTGGGAAACCTATTGCTTATGAAAATATCTCACACATGCGTTTAATTAACATTTAGTTTAATTCTTTTATCGTTTATATAATTCTTTAGAATTATTCAGTGATTTCAAGACGACAAATATCTTTAAGAAAACAAAACGTATATTTATATATGTATACATCACACACACCACCACACACACACACACGCACACACACACACACACACACACACACACACACACACACACACACACACACACACACACACACACACACACACACACACATATATATATATATATTATATATATATATTCTAACTTTTTGATATGAATTAGATAAGGTTGATTGTTTGAATTACTTCGAATGATAGGCAATCAGTTTCTCTGTGAAATCAGCCACTGTTTAGATACACCAAATATCCTGAAATTGATATGCAAATATATTTAGAGAGATTTTGATTTCTCATTTATTTCAGTGCATTATGATCTGACTGACCGTTTCAGTAACATGAGAATGGGAAAAGTGATTCCTATTAAACATACTTTTTTGTGTGTGTATATCCACTTTTTTTCCAATTTGGAAAAATAATCATTATATGTTTCATTAAAAAAGTTTGATCAATAAGTCAAATAGACTTTTCATTTCCAATAGTTCACAATCTAGTTTTTTTAGTCATCTTTAGACTTTTTTTTTTAAATCACATGATTTAGCGAAAAATGTGCTCAGTGAAATCGGTGTTGTAGTTATATCAACAAAGGAAGACTATACAGTTAAACGTTGGATTATTACTGTGATATTAACTAAAAGAGTTTCTTATTACAAAACTATTACGCAATTGTGAAGATATACGAGGTTACTAAAATTAGACAACACAGCATTCCACCCCACCCCCCACCCCCCACCAACCCAATGAAATGAAAAGATATATAGCATGCGTGTACTTTGTATTTCAGGAATTAGTGACAAATAGAATTAGTTGGTGAAAGATTCACGCAAACTCACTCAGTGACGAGAGAAAGAGAAGAGAAAAGAGAGAGAGAGAGAGAGAGGGGAAAGGAGATATACATACATATATATATATATATATATATATATATATATATATATATATATATATATATATATGTATATATATATATTAATATATGTATATATATACATTATATATATATTATATATATATTATATATATATATATATATGTATATAATTATATATATAATATATATATATATATATATATATATATATATATATATATATATATGTACATGTATATGTATTATATTATATATATATATATATATATATATATATATATATATATACATATATATAATATATATATATATATAATATAGATATAGATAGATAGATAGATAGATAGATAGATAGATAAGATAGATAGTATAGATATATATAGATTATAGATTATAGATATTTATATATAGATATATAGATAGATAAATAGAGTAGATATATAGATAGATAGATACAGAGCTGTATATAAATAATTATAGGCATAATCTATATTGTGTGTGTTTATATTTTGTAAATATGTATATATTCATATATTCTATCTAATATATCTATGTCAATCCTCTCTCCATCTCTCTCCTCTCTCTCTCTTCTCTCTCTCTCTCTCTCTCCTCTCTCTCTCTCCTTATATCTATATATATATATATATATATATATATATATATATATATATATATATATATATATATGTATATGCACACACACACACACACACACACACACACACACACACACACACACACACACCACACACAAAATTATCTCGTCTGTTGTCTTCTTGAAATACCTTGTTGCGTAGCCCACAGTATCCAACCACAAAACCCGTCACCTGTAGGGCCACCAGTGCAACGTGTCAGCATCACCTGCAAGAGGCGGAGATACTTATTGCTAGAGTAAATTTGGCGGGAAAACGCGGCAACGTCTAGACCATATCACATATTTTAACTTATTTCACTGGATAAACAGGACATCTGACATAATAGTTATTCATTTATTGTTGTACATCTGCCTATATACACGTATGTTTCACATAACATAATCCACATACAAAGATATTTCAAATAAAAAATGACAGCAGCAAAAAATGAAATAAATCAGAACCGTTTTCTATAAAACATTATTATAATCAAAGAAAACATCACTGGAAGCATATAACAAAACGCAATATTCTACATTATGGGTTATTTTGTTTATCTGTGCGTATTAACGTTATTCTTTATCACAATGAAAAAAGTCATAACAAATGTAGGTGGCTTGGAATGAATATAAAGTCGTTTAAATAAATATCCTTTCTTGCCAAAGAAAACGTTATTTCTCAGTAATTTGATCGGGGAGACTCATATAATTTGCACAATTTATATCCAAAATTTACTTCCTGAAAATATAGACATGTGCATGGTTACTGTGTAGTTATTTGATATGAGTACATGTTTTCCAAAAGAAGATTAGCGGTGGAATTCTTGAGAGGAGTAAATACAAATACAAATTAAGACATTTTTATTTTCATTTTTTTCTTGTGACTTTCAGTTTATCAGCCCAGGTGTTTGGCAGTGTGTATGTGTGCATGTGTATATATATATATATATATATATATATATATATATATATATATATATATATATATATATATATACTCACCCACACTCATACAACACACCACATTCACACTCACACACTCATACATACACTCACAAACACGCACACACTCTCACTCGCACACACACACTCACTCACACCTACACACTCACATCTATACACTCACACACACTCCCCTAAACACACACACACACACACGCACACACCCTCACAACTATACACATACACGCAATCACAATCACACGAACATACACACACACACACTCCCCTAAACACACGACACACACACTCACACACATCCTCACACCTATACACTCTCACAATCCCACAATCACACACACATAACGTCACACACACACATACCCTCACACACGCAATCACAATCATACACACGTACACACACTCCCCTAAACACACGCACACACACTCACACACATCCTCACACTAATACACTCTCACAAGCAATCGCAATCACACACACATAACGTCACACACACACACATATACCCTCACATACACACACGCATACCCTCACATACACACACTCACACATACCCTCACTTACACACACACATACCCTCACATACACTCACACATACCCTCACATACACACATACCCTCACATACACACACTCACACATACCCTTACATACACACATACATACCGTCACATACACACACATACCCTCACATACACACACACATACCCTCACATACACACACACATACCCTCACATACACACACACATACCCTCACATACACACACTCACACATACCCTTACATACACACATACATACCCTCACATACACACACACATACCCTCACACACACACATACCCTCACATACACACACATACCTCACATACACACACACATACACACACACATACCCACATACACACACATACCCTCACATACACACACATAACATACACACACATACCCTCACATACACACACACATACCCTCACACACACATACACACACACATACCCTCACATACACACACACATACCCTCACATACACACACACATAACATACACACACACATACCCTCACATACACACACACATAACATACACACACACATACCCTCACATACACTCACACATCCACACGTCTAGTACGCTAGGTAATGTCCTTCCCGCGTCGTGCTGTCCGAGCCGTCCTGTCCTCCCTTCCCCAATGAGGCGTTTTCTGTGCATCGTCGTGCCTCAGGTAGTATTATTGACCCTTCTCGGCCTCGCGTTCAGGGTAGCCGATAGATTTACATCCATGTAGGACCAGGCAATCCTCGAGTTGAAGGAGGACATTAAGAATACCCCCCGGCCTGTGCTAGCTCGGCGGCAGCCCGAGTCGTTGGACCTCCTGTGCCCAGAGGACGCCAGTAAGGTCGACGGCAAGGTAGCTCAGATCGAGTGTCTTCACGCGGTGTTGCTGGAGCAGAGGCGCCTGGTCGAGGTCGAACGACACTATTTTGCGATTTTTGCCGGCTTAGCGACGGCAACACTGGCCGCCGTAGCTGCCCTGATTTTCCTGAACAGGAAATTGAAGCAAGCCTCTCTTGAGACCCGTCTTGTCACATTACAGGACGAGAAGAAGCCCGAAATAGCCGAAGCCCAGGAGGACGAGGAGTCCGAAGAGGCCGAAGCCCTGGAGGATGAGGAGTCCGAATCCCGAGTCCGAAGTATCCGAATCCCAGGAGGATGAGGAGTCCGAAGTATCCGAATCCCAGGAGGATGAGGAGTCCGAAGTATCCGAATCCCAGGAGGATGAGGAGTCCGAAGATCCGAAAGGAGGATGAGGAGTCCGAAGAGGCCGAAGCCCTGGAGGATGAGGAGTCCGAAGTATCCGAATCCCAGGAGGATGAGGAGTCCGAAGAGGCCGAAGCCCTGGAGGATGAGGAGTCCGAAGAGGCCGAAGCCCTGGAGGATGAGGAGTCCGAAGTATCCGAATCCCTGGAGGATGAGGAGTCCGAAGATCCGAATCCCTGGAGGATGAGGATCCAAGATCCGAATCCCAGGAGGATGAGGAGTCCAAGTATCCGAATCCCAGGAGATGAGGAGTCCCAAAGAGGCCGAAGCCCAGGAGGGAGGAGCCCAAAACTGGCCCATTCCGTGGCTGATCAGCGGGACCAAAAGGCGGCCTGCCGCGCGCTGAGGCCGGTGCCACGTGGCGCCAGGAGGAGGCGGCGCCGGCCGGGCGAGGAAGAAGGCAGCCGAACCCCGGGGCGGACCGGCAGACCCACCAAGGTGACAGGCCGCACGGCGAAAGGGCAGCCAGGAGCGCGAGAGGTAAGAAGGAAAGCAGGCAGGCGCCCGCGCACGAAGCCCAAAACGGGCCCTAGGC